TTAACCTAACCAACGTCCAAAGTAGTGTTTCTCTCCCTGAACATTTTGAGAGTGAGCGTCAAAAACAGAGAGAAATCTTAAGAAGGACTTTGAGCACTAGTAGAATAACAATAGCTACTGATGTGGCAACGTGCAATACCTCCCTCTGCTGTTAGCCTCCTCTGTTTCATTTGCACTGCTGCTAGCTTCTGCTGGCAAATGACGAAGTCAACGAAACAACATAGAACTGAGCTGAATGGATATGAGCGTGTGTTGACTCGCTGTCACTCATATTTGTGGTGATATTATACCAACAGGGATACCAAATATAGAACACAAAAATTAACTTGAGAATATTTTTTTAATAAGCAAATAACTAAATTCAAACTGAAAAAACAAAACAAAAACAAATTTGAGCAGCTAGGTCCAGAGCAAATGTAGATATGTTGGTAAATTGGCAGACATTTTTCTCTCGAGTAGATACACTAATAGTTATTTTAAAAGATATTGATAGAGTTTTAAGTACTGACTGAACTTCTTTAACTGAATAAAAGTGAAAAAGCACAGGTGCTGAAACGAACTTAAAGTATAAAAATGAAAAGCAGCTCTTTCAGGGATATTTTTTTCTAGTTCGTCCTTTATCTTTAGCTTCTTTACTCTTTTTTTTTTTTCTTTTCTTTTTTTTTGCCTCTCCAACTTGACTTCTTTTACATCAGCAATAAGCACATTGTGCTATTATTCCTTACCTTTAGGTTCGAATTGGCCTGCTTTAGGGAAGATGTGCAGTGACATGAAACAACTTCCCACAAACACGTTATAAATGAAGGATCTTATTTTGAAAATCCAAGTAGCAGAAAGCAGAGATGTTTGTGTTAAAGTCAAAAGCGGTCAGAAAAGTAAATATTCAGATAAACTGCAGATACCTCAAAATTGCTCACTTCCAAATCTACCCAACAAAATTCCCATCCCACTCCAACCCCCAAGAGGAGCAAGAAGGTCGTCACAATGCTAGAATTTCAAACTCAATACCATTTTACGGATACAATAACACATGGAAAGAATGACAAAGGATAAATAAAGATAAAACAATATTGGTTGGATTAAATGTATTGAAAATGTATTGACTTTCAGCCCTGTGTATTTCCTGTGCTTCTGGTAACTTGACACCATATTTCGTTGCTGATCAGATTTATTAAGGTAGGCTGCCACCGTTTCTGTCTAGCTGCTGGTAGACTTTTTGTTGCTTCAGTCTGGTACTGGTAGAAATGTAACTCACTTTGGACACAAATAATTGTGTTATCTGTAACAAAATGATAACAGACGGCTAATGTAGCTATTAATACTAGCAGTTAATATTGATAGCTGTTTAATACTTTAGCTTTATTGACCTCACAGATCGGGATGTCTGAAGATGCTTCAACAGCAGTTCAGCTGTTTGTGAGGGGAGGGGCTGTGTGACGTTTGTGTGTCAGTACTGTTGGTACCAATTCTGCTGCAAGTGAATATTTAATCTGATGGTAATTTCTATTATAAGTTAGTGCAGATTTTGTGGATAATCCTACTCGGTGCATACACCAGCTTTAATTTTAAAATGCTTTCAGTGTTTTGAAATCTAAAGGTACCATCAGTCCCAGTTCTGGTGACATCCCTATCCATAACTTTATAACATAAACTGAAGGAGAGATTTGTTCTTGTAAACCGATGTTTAAAATTACATTTTTGTCTGTGTTCCTCGTCATTTGCTCCCAACTCAACCAGCTTCTGGATGTTAATTGATAGCTTTCTTTTTTTGGTCTATATAAGACTAATAGGGTGTTCGTCTGAGCCACAGTCTTGAATAGTATTATGTTGGGGTGTTCATTTAAATAAGCATGCTGTACAGTAACAAAGTATTTCTGCTTTTCCCGCCAACAAGATTCAGATGGTGAACTAAACGTTGTCGGGTTGGACTGTTTGTTTGACTATAAGTTTGTGATGGGTACTTTCTGATATTTTAACGACAGAGAAAATAACCAGCTTTGTTACAAAAATTTACATTTTGTTCTATGATTATTTTTAAATAAGACTTCTTTTATTGCGTTACCTGGCAATGAGTGAAGATCCGAAGATCTTAAGCACTTTTTGTCTTTCTAGTTTCCCTCTAACAGGATTTATTTCCTACTAGCTGCCATGTGCTATATAAGGATGCAAGTATGAGCTGTTTATTTCAGTCGCTACACTGAATAATTT